TCTATTCTATTCTATTCTATTCTATTCTATTCTATTCTATTCTATTCCAACCTTCTTACCTGTTCTTGGATTGCTCTCTCTCTCTCTCTCTTTCTCTCACTCCAGAAGACTGTATCTCAGGCCAATTTCTTTCCTCTTGGGCTTTTACAACAACCATCTCTGCAGTCTGTCGTAGAATTGGAAGGACATGTCAATGTAGAATGGCCAGGAGAATCCAGTCGAGAATGGACAATAGGCAGTTGTCCGGACAGCTGATAACTGGTCAAAGATAGCCGAACGGCCTCTAAGATAAAAGCCAGTTCAAAGGGGTCAGCATTCACTCCAGTCTTTAAGAATGTCAAAGGGTCAGCTGAGAGAAAATATAGCCGTGGCAAACACAACCCTTGGCTATTTCAAGATGAAACTTTCAAGAATGTCGGGGCCTAAACCAAGCAAAATAATAAGAGTTGGAAGAGGACCTTGGAGGTCTTCTAGTCCAACCCCCTACTCAAGCAGGAGACCCTATATATCATTTCAGACAAGGAGCTGTCCAATCTCTTCTTAAAAACCTCCAGTAATGAAGCACCCACAACTTCTGGTGGCGAGCTGTTCCACTGGTTAATTGTCCTCCCTGTGGGGAAGTTTCTCCTTAATTCCAGGTTGCTTCTCTCCTGGATTAGTTTCCATCCGTTGCTTCTTGTCCTGCCCTCTGGGGCTTTGGAGAATAACTGGACCTCTTTTACTTTGTGGCAAGCCTCCCCAAATATTGGAATCCTGCTCTCATGTCCCCGCCACCCCACCCAGTCTTTCTTTTCTCTAGACTGGCCATCCTCAATTCCTGCAACAGTTCTTCAAATATTTTAGCCTCCAGCCCCCTAATCGTAACATAACAACTACATAACAATAACAACATAATAGTAAACATAATAACATAAGCATAACAAGAGGAAGTGGTTAAAATTGCCCCAAATGATCAAGAGGGGGCTTTGCAGAAATGCTGCTTTTGGTTAGAAACTTTCACAGCGCAGACCCCTTTTACAATCCTGCAATCCCTTAATTCGGGGGTACAGTCGGGGCGACCAAATGGAGTTGAGCGTTTCCTGGCCAGATGCCCTCCCTGATGACTACCCCAAAGTTCACAGCGGATATTTTTCTCTTTGTGCCCGGAGAGAGAGAAATCTCTTCCGCCACGTAGGATCGAACTCCAAAGCCTCCTGCTTGTGAGGCGTAGGCCACCTATAAAACCTTCCCCCTGTCAAAGGATGAGACGCTGCAAGCTCTGTGCCTCTTCCGCTTGCCGTTCGAATAAGGGGAGGGAAGGTGTCGCTTTCGGGCGGGTTAGAATCAAGGTGGAGGAATGAAACCTGGAGGATTTTGCAGGAGACCAGGAGAGGCTGGAACCTTCTCAGGGGCAGCCGAAGGGGTGCAGAATCGAAGCAGGCGGTTCCCTTAACAAAGTGAACTTGATGCTGTAAAACGATGCTTGTAGCATGATGTTTTTAGCATCAACCTTGTGAGCTCTCAAGTCTCCTCTTTCCACATTCAATACAGTGAAGCGTGTGTGTGTGTAAATGCATATATATGTATGGTGCAGGTACATATTTATGTACCGTATGTACTCTGTATAGTATGTGTCTATATGTGTTATGTAAATGTTTGGGTAGATATACACCCTCTTGAGACCAAGCAACAGAATTTCATTTTTAATGCGGGCTGGTGTGCTTGGAGTTAAAAAAAAATGACCTATCCTATCTTGTTTACATGGACTACTTAGAACAGGGGTGTCCAACCTTTCACCTTCCCTGGGCCACATTAGAAGATGAAAATTTGGTTTGGGCCGCAGATAAAATAAAATAACAGTAACAATACCTGATCATCCAAAAAAAACCCATAGAAAACATAGTTAACATATTAAATTTATTTGGAAATGAAGTTAGTGAGATGTTTTTATTATTAATTATTTATTAAAAATTATTTATTTTTTATCACAGTTTTTTTATCACGTTTTTTTTTATCATGGTTTATTTTCCGGCCAAATTTTTGGGAACCTCAGAGTTAGTTTTACTTCGACATTGTCATGCAGTGGTATTCAACAAACAGTAAGGGGTGTTTTGTTTTTCCAGAAATTGAATGACCCTGGAGTTTGATCTATGAATTCTCAAACTGGATGTTGACACATCTGTATTTGACAAGAAATACTACGTTGCAGTATAATCACAACCCAACCTTGAAAGCCCGGCAGTGTTTCTCCATCCTTTTGTCTTATACCAAAGAGAATCAAGGATGAAGGAATCATCCTGGATGTTCCTTCTCACACCGTCCCGTTTTCCTGGGCTGAGCTCCTGTTCCGTAGGCTTTGCATTCCTTCTTCGGGGTTGTCCACAGCCACCTTTCTCACAGGCTGTGTCAGTAGCGGGTTCCTACCTTGCTTGCTGCCGATTGGAGGGGTGACTGTGCATGCGCACCTCCTCATGGGCATTCCCGTGCGCCCCCTAAAATGCGCGCGCCCCCCACTTAACGTGCCAATCAGCTGAGAGGGGGAAACAGAAAGCTAGGCATGATCCTCCCACCCACTCATGCACTTGTGGCTTCTTCTATCCTCTCAGCTGATCGACGGAGGAACCAGTTTGATGGTACAGGTAGTTTACTACCGGCTCGATTGAACCGGTCCAAACCAGTAGCATACCACCACTGAGATGTATATCCCAGGATGCAACACGTCCCACTTCTTACTCCTAACAGCTTTACTAACACGTCCCACTTCTTACTCCTAACAGCTTTCTGTTTTTGTTTCCGCCCCCCGCTTCCCCGCTGGTCTTCGCTTGCAGAAAAACGCCTGCGTCCTACCAGACGATCTGAAGAATTTCTACCTCATGACCGACGGTTTCCGGATGACCTGGAACGTCAAGTTTGATGGTAAGGGTCTCCGCCCCGCCCCCTCCCTTTCTTGACCCCAGGCCATTGATCTACAACACAGTCTAGTTGGGATACGTACAACATGGCGAGAAAAAGGAATCTTGTGAGTTTGCCCGGCGGATGGCACAGGGAACAAAGCCCTTATAGAATCGGGTAGTCCTGCTAGAAATGCTTGGAAACCTCAGGCCGTGGAGGACACTTCCGGTTTGTCGGCTTCGGTGACAGCAGGGATTCGCTTTTCTCCGCGATCCCTGCTGTGCTAGCCGCCTTGGTGCCTCCGATCCTGACGGATTTGGAGGCTAAGGCTGCCCTGTTGGGGCAGCTGAAGAAAGGGGGGATCCGGATAGGGATTGAGGGGTATCGCAAACCCCCTCCCCTGCCGGCAATAACCCCCTTCTCTCAAGACGGTGGAGCGGCGGTCTTTATGGCCGCCATAAAGAAGCCGGCAACTGGATAAAGAATGTGCAGGAGGAAGAAGAAGGAGTTTTAAAACGAAAGTTTTTTTCTTGATCGAACTGGGACCTTAAGGACATATTTAACACCTGGGAAAGTATTGGCTTTTTTCTGGACGCTACAATGTTCCCGATTGATGTTTTCAGCGGCGAAGAAAAGCGATGAAAAGGGGAAGTTACTCTCCCTCCCTTATGGAATTAACCAATGGACAAGGGAAACCAGCCTTTTAATAGAAGAAACAGGCCGTGGAGTGGGCGCGTGGGGTCTCTAACGACACTGGGGTTGAAGGTTCGGGCATCGCGCATTGCGCAAATCAGGTTCTTTTTCTCTTTCTTAGATAACCCAGTTTCTCTAGGCTGCATGACGATTAACAGCATCTCCAAGCTGAACCGTCTCAATGTCTCACCAGTGTACACTTTGCCCAGTGCACCAACTCTGGCTGATCTGGAAGACTCCGATGAGGAGGAAGGTATACACACACACACACACACACACACACACACACACAAATACAGAGGGAGGGAGGGAGAAAGAGAGAGAGAGAGAGACTTAAATCCTCTCCCCCTCCCTCTTTGCTTCGTTGACACGAAGATCGAAAGCTGTGTAGGACAGAGTTTATTATCATTAGATTAGATTTTTAATCCCACTTTTTTTATTATTATCTATACAAATAAAAGCGAAAGACCACTCACGCATCATCAAAACAACTCCAGAACTGTAAAGCCTACAAACTTGAAATTTGGCACGTTATGTTCCTCTTGGCTTCTAGGGGCTCCCTAAGAAAGGATTTTTCTAAATGACCATCAGAGCATTTAGAGTATTTCCTATATTATTATTATTATTAACACGCTCTGATGCTAAGGAGTTCAACTCCCTCTCCCCACCTGGAAAGAAATCTCTTCCAAATGCAAAACACGAGCAGAGGAGAGGAATTTTAGTTTCAGTTTTGTTTTTACAGCACCAAGCAGCTTTAGTCCAGAACAGTTGAGCTAAGCCACGCCCAGGCTCCTTACTGTCTCCTTCATGCTCACACAGCAAATACTGTTTCACTTTCCAAACAGCCCTCAACTCTCTCACACACTGACAGGACGCTAGCCAGACGAATACTGATGGATCCTGGGAGGCAGAGGCAGATTTTTTTTTTCCCCTTATTTTCCTCCCCCCAAAACTAAGCCCGGCCACATCGTTTCATAGCGAAGCACACGGGTATCAAGCTAGTTTTTATATAAAAGCACTTGAAAGCAAAGTAAGAAATAATCGATGGAAACTAATCAAGGAGAGAAGCAATCTGGAACTAAAGAAATTTCCTGACAGTGACGACAATTAATCAGTGGAACAACTTGCCACCAGAAGTTGTGGATGCTCCAACACTGGAGGTTTTTAAGAAGAGATTGGACAACCACTTGTCTGAAATGGTATAGCAGCTCCTTGCTTGAGCAGGGGGGTTGGGCTACATGACCTCCAAGTTCCCTTTCCACTCTCCTATCCTGTATTCTTTCCTACCACCACAGCGGTTAGTGTCCTCTGTCATCTTTTTACTACCACGACCTCACCAAGACGGAGTTCTGGATCTTGCCAAGTTCCAAGTTTTCTCATCTTTTGTCTGTCAACCCTCCAGGGCTGCCACTCAATCAGAATAGAGCTGGAAGGGACCTTGGAGGTCTTCTAGTCCAGCCCCCCCCCACTCAAGCAGGAGACCCCATCCCATTTCAGACAAATGTCTGTCCAGTCTCTTCTTTAAAAAAAAAAACCCAGTTACTTCTGGTGGCAAGCAGTTCCACTGGTTAATTGTTCTCCCGGTTAGGAAGTTTCTTTGAGAAAGCTTTGTCTGTTTTCTTGGCTGTTTTCTCCCACAGGTAACAAGGAACAACCGAAAAGGCCTCACCTGGACACCAGGTGTCTGATATTCGAATTAGACTCCTGTGCAGGCAACGGGAAAGTTTGCCTCGTCTACAAGAACACCAAGCC